AATTATATTGAAATCGGTTCTGATTGGGATATAATTTTAATAAGCTAACAGTTAAAAACTACACAACAATTTATTTGGGGATACGATTATTACGTTGTATGTATGTTGCTACCTCGAATTCTTTAATTGCAACAGAAATGCCACTCAACTTTAAAAGATTGCAGTTTCCAACCAAAGGACAAACCCTTCGGATAGGCGGACTAAATTTGTCATGTTCCTGCTTTTCTCATGGTCAGCTGTTCCTGGCATGTTTACGCGTGGTTAGACCGAGTTACTTGTTTGTTTACGCATTAAATTATTACAATAATTACGTTTTTTAAATTATTGAATTTGTCTATTTTTTTTTAAACCAACAAATAATCGAATATAAAATTTTGAATGCATATCAAATCAAAAGGAGTAGCGAAGCGCACCGGGTTCCGGTAGTCATATATATAGTGGATCTAGCGTTTAAAATGTTTTTAAGCCCTCGCGACAAGTAGAGGACTTAAAAAGAGGTATAGGGCAACATATGAAAAAAGTTTGAACTAAGCCTTTTAGTCTGTCACCAATTACTATCACCTTCACTTTCCTGTTGCCACATCGCAGACCATGACCCCAAAACTATTGCACAGAGTTGCCAGTCAGTGATTATAACCCTACTTAACTCTTAATAAACAGATTTACCTTGAGTCAGAATTGACACATTTTTTTTTTTTGCATGTGTCAAAACTTTTGCAAATTACAATTTTATATCCTAAATTATTACGACAATGACAATTATGTTGTAACAAGTTTTACATGCATATTGGCAAACAGTTTCTTTGTTGTTGGTGATTAGTATCTACAATTTTTTGTTTTATTATTATTATTATTATTATTATTATTTTTTTGCTGTAATCGATTTTATTTTCCCACATATTAGACATATGGAAATTGTAATTATTTTTAGTTGGTGAAATGAAAAAGACAACATTAGCTGCAGCAGCAGTTATGAGTTGTTAATTACAGCAATAGCGTCATATAAATTACGAATTTGCACTGTTGTAGGACAGCCAAAGAAAAACGGTAGTAGATTTGAAAGCTGATAAAACTGATTTTATTATTGGAGGGTTTTGCCGGAAGATATCTGGAAGTACTGTCACAATTTTTTTTCCTTAACTTGGAAGACCCAATACATTTTTTGTTTTCATTTTTTCCTAATATCGAACCCCCAAAAACTAGAGAAGATTGTAGTCGAAGTATTGATATGTCAACAAATTTTAAATGTTACTTCAAAAATAAGAATATTTGTATATGTTTTCAAAATTTTCAGTTCCAAAATTGGTTAGACCGTTCATTGTCGCAGCAACTGTGTCGATGCGTCTACCTGTATTTTTCTACCATGGAGTTTATATTACTTTACAATGGGCAAATTTGGACGACTAATATCCAGATTACCAGCCTCTGATTTACTGATACATTTATTAATTTTAAAGTTTAAATATTTAGTTTTGAATAAACTACGCAGCATAATCAATTTCCCAAAAATCATAAAAACATATGTAGGTGCGCAATCCAGGAATCTTTAACGCTCCAACCACTTAAATGGAGTGAATTATTATTTCTGTTGGACTGTGATAACGATAAGTAGTTCTCACGATAAGTAGTTCCCAAGGACAAATTTGTTTTTATAATAAATCAAAAAAAAAACGAACACTTTTGATTATATTTTGGTGCAATGAAGGCTTGTAGATACTGCACTCCAGATATAGCTCCCATATATATCTTCAACCGATTCCGGGTTAATTGTGCACCAAATGGCCAATATCAGTCCAAATGACCTGAATTTTGGTACATCCGATCGAATTCAGTCAAGAATCCAGTACATTAAATTTGTTAAAAATTTGGTTTAGATATAGCCATAGCTCCCATATATATGATTCATACGATTTGATGTTTAAGTATTTCACATTCGTAATTACATTCGACAACAATAATATTTCGTACCTGATATCTTATAGAGCTTAGAAATACCTCTGCCAAATTTTATCAAAATTGTTTCAGATTTGGATATAGCTTCAGTATATATCTTTAACCGATTTCGGATTAATTGTGCACCAAATATCCACTATCGGTACAAAATTCCTACAAATGCCCTCTACAGAGGTGAGAACCAATTCACTCGCACGTATTTGGACATGATCACCTCCTTTTGTATTATCGATACTACCAATTGAACTCCAAACAGTCCCGGACTGGTCATTCAACGTCAAATTAGCAGCAGAAAACATGCTGTTCTCACGTACAGCACAAGAAACTCCAAAGTGTCCCAGACTCACTGTCAAATTAGCAGCAGAAAACATGTTGTCCTCACGAGAAATCTCTGGGACTGCAGCAACGGACTATACAGCACAAACATTAAACTGGACTACCCTTACGAATAGCTTACACAACATACACAAGAAGAAAACGCCAATACGCATCCCAAAAGACCAAGTAGCAACTGGCTAAACAAACCGCAGCCCACGGTCCACAATGTACGGAAACCCCCTCCACTAAGTCTTGTCCTTCTACAAAATACTTAAAGCTCAAAATTACTTAAACATCTAAAGGTCTTCAAGAACCCTACTGCAATTACACACACCATACGTAATACCCATATTTGCTAAACTCACCACACCCACATAAATACACATAATACCTGTCTTATTCAACAACTTAATCCGCAGCAAAAGTACGGCGGTTCAGTACGAACGTTGCGTTACAAATAAATTCGTACGTTACCATCCCTTTGTCGCTGGTGGTCCACCTTGTCTTCCACCTATCAAGAACGCTTTTCCGAAAGAGTACCTTGTACCGCCTAACATCTCCATCTACAAGATCAGAAAGTCTGATCCAGTCTTCAGCCTCATTCAGGTGAAAACCTCGCTTAAGCTTGTGCAGTCCAAGTTCAGCCGCATGGCGCAAACAGCACCAGCAGTGCATCAGTGGACACTGTCCTGGTGGTAAACATGCTAACAAAACGACCCGCTGACACGACCGGCTTTGTACCACACAGGTGCATTCATGGGTGCACCATAACTTGCACAAGCAACAAACAGGCCACAATGTACGAAACGCACAAAACGCCAGATTGGCTCCCAAGCAGTCTTCAAAACACGCATAACCATTCGCACCACTCTTTTTACCTTCTCCTTAAGATGGTCGAAGTAAAGCAGGAAATTAAGCCCATCCGTCATATGGACACTATATTACTTGCGTATCCTATGCCACGTTTACCAGCTCATATAAGCATAGGTCGACTGTGAGCAATTCTGCCTTTCAGCATTATCCAGGATATTTTGTCATTTGCTACCTCTACAACAACTCGATCACTCCACACTTGAACTATACACATTGCCTGCCTACCTATGATATCCAGTTCCAGTCGAGTCTCCCCTTTAACTATAATGAGCTGATCAACCGCATGTCAACCACGTTGGATATCCTTTCTAAATCACATACCTTTCCCACTCGAAACCCGCGTCGCAGTGGATGAAAAATGGCTCGTGAGCTGAGCATATCGCAATATTCCATTCGGCAAATATTGAAAAATGAGCTTAGGGTAAAGCCATTGAAATTCCAAAAAGTGCAAGAGCTTAGACCTCAACAAAAAGAAAACAGACTCAAAAGAATCGAAAGTGGTGTGCTGCCGAATTTGGTTTTCTCCGATGAGAAAACATTCGTTGTCCAGCAGTTTGTAAACAAACAAAATTATCGTGTTTACTTGCCAAAAAGGTCAGCTGAAAATGTGCACCTACGGTTGGCCACCAGAACTCAAGCGCCGGCCATGGTGATGGTGTGGGCCGCCATAACAGCCGATGGTCAATCTCTGCTCGTATTTATCTATAATGCCGAATATTAATGCGAAAATATTCTGGAGAGTGTATTAAGGCCTTGGGCACGCAAATATTTTGGCCGCAGACCTTGGATATTCCAACAGGACTCAGAACCATCGCACTCAGCACGCGCCACCCAAGAATAGTTACAAAATGAGGTTCCTCGCTTCATTTCCAGCACACAATGGCCGCCAAAATCTCCGGATATCTCGTTGGACTATTGTGTCTGGAGTATTTTGGAACTAAAAAACACCAAAGTGTCGATCATCTCAAGCAGGCGCTCCGCCGGGAATGGGCCAAAATACCGCAGAGCAACATTCGAGCAGCGTGTGACGGTTTCATTGGCCGTTTGAAGGCTATAATTCGTGACATCGAACAAATCTAAACTTATTCTAAAATTTGATGTTATTTCCGAGATTTTTTGCTTTCATTTAACAAAATTAAAAAAAAAAAATTAAAAATTATGGCGTTTGACTTTGTTGCAGTTTTTTTTATCTCACCCTGTACTTGTATAAACACGTCTTTTGATTTTATACCACAACGTTTTATGTTTTATTTACACATTTTTAATTCATTATTTTCCCAATCGAAATTTCCGGCAGTATGGCTCTCATTTTTATCCTCGAGTGTAGCTGTGGAATTTTTTCTGCATTAAATTGGATACAATAGCGAAATTGCCTTAAAAGATGCCGTTGATTTGTGGATTGGGTGTTTTATCTCCAGATTTAAGGAGAATATTGTGATGACGGGCGTTGGGGGGAAGGCTGATAAATAAAATCTTACCCAAAATGAATTTAAGTATTGATGACATTCATGAATGACTGAATGGCTTAGCTGGTTGTCTAAACGAGTAGTAGACACGGGCAATTTAAGAGAATCATCTCACCCAAAAGAAATAAATGGATAAACAACAACAATGCGGTGTGTCAACAAAACACAAGTCACACAGCATACAAACCCGAAAACATACGATCAGATTCACTTAATATGGGAATTTTATTCAATGAATGCTCGAGATCTTTAATAACAATTTTTTTAACACTTGGTAATTTATCCAAACTTGTTCTTATTCGTTTCCTTTTTTAAGAAAATTTCAATTCCATTTTTTTCCACTTCCGTTACATTTTTTTCAATTTAAATATAAAAAGATATTTCAATTACCACAACTTATTTCGGTATGCCGTTTGCAACCTAATTTTTTATGTCACACGACGCGCCATTGACCTTTTTCGTTGGCTTGAAATTAAATAATTTTTTATTTGTTTTTTTTTTCTTCTTCTTTTCGACTGAATTCAATTAATTAACAAGTCAAAACAATAGTTTTTGCTGTTATTGTTGTTTAAAACAAACGAAAGAGTCCAAAAAACTACCCGATTCGACTGTCTAAAAATCCGCTATGGGGAAAGAAAGCAACCGGAGAGAAAATAAACGAGTTGTGCATGTTTTCGCTTACCGACTAAAACTAAACAGACACCAAAAACATTTAATCGAACCAGTCATTCATTCAGTCAGTCAGACATTCAGTTACGCCGCCACGCGTGGCCATATCGAACCTATGTACATACAAATAAATATATCTTTCGGCATTTATCCCAGCGATTGGGGGTCTTTCTCTGTTGTTGTCTGTTGTCATACGGGCGGGTAGTAGCTTGTGTGAGTGTAGTGTATCTCCTCTCTTTTATTCTCTCAAATACTCTGTTCGGTTACTACGATGTCTGTTTTGATTCCGGGAAGCTTTTTCTGCCCGTTACTAGAGAAGAGAAGATCACGCTTGATGGTATGCGTCAGTAAACACTTACAGCTGTTTTATTTCGATAGGAGGGATGGTAAATAATCTAAGGAAATTTAAATTTATTAAAGAAGATCAATGTGTAACGAGGAATTCTGAGTAAATTGTATATAGACTGTCTTAGCATATGATATGAAGAAATAATTCTCAATCACACTAAGCTGCCAGAGGAACAAGAAGCTGTTGCTTATCTAGAATACTCCGAATACTCCAAATTGGAACATGTATTTAAACGTTGAGAATATCGAAGCGACCATCTTTAAAGGCAAGAAGAGCAATTTTGATACAGTGCCATAAGGTATAAGCCAGGTTTTTAAATTGAAGGGTAAGTAATATCCCTGTGGGAAATGATTGAAGTCAGTAACTACTGACTTCGTCACCAGTGCTGCTGACCAAGTGGTGACAAGTAATGATTTTTTTCCTATAGACATTTTGTCTGAACTTGTCATTCAGAAGTCCAAAGCTACATTGTCAGTAACCAGCCATCAGTTCTTACGAGGCATGTGGAGACATTAAAACCAGTGTGTCAGTAGTCCATGGGGGTCATATGGAGACATTGGAACCTGCCAGTCAGTAGTCAATTTGAGCTATATAAATACATAAGTGCCACAGTCTATTATTTTAATTTTTAATTCGCATTTGAGGAACTATTTTTTCATTTCACACCCAGTTGTATTGTACTGTGAAGTTACTTCAAGAAAAGATTTGTAAATTTTATTCATTTGTTTTTGCTTCAGTCCGAATTTGGTCCACTTGTCTGCTTGAAAAATGTTTTTTGCCGTTAAAAAGCTTCACTCAAAGATAATATAACATCTAGATATATATTTTTTAAATTAGGAAAAAAATGTATAGCTTGCTTACATATTATGACACCGGCTTTAAGCCTTCCTCATGTAGTGCTGCTAGAAGTTTATTCAAATATTTTCGAGAAGATACTGTTTCAAAGGTCCATTAAAATAAATACCGTATTTATCTAGCAAGGACACAAACCATTATGTAAACAAAACCATTAACAGAGCTATGTTAAACTTACCAGAACAGATAGACATTTTGGTATTTTTTTTTAAATTACTATTTTTTAATGTTTAGTCATCAAAAAATTTGTTTTTTTTTTATGATAAACAATAACTATAACTTTAATTATAAAATTTACGGAAGGCTGTCTAGTTACGAGTGCCCACTAACTTGCAGTTGCACATTATGTGACAGGATACTGGCATTAGATAAACTACGTTTAAAAAAAAATCTTCCAATCCAGATTTCTCCAGAAATGGCCAAATACCTCGGAATCTGTCCGATAAACAGAGTTTACATGGTTTAGGTTAAACCCGGATTCCGTAACAATATTACCGAGAAAACAACTACTAGAACAAGACATTCAGTATCGATAAACAAGTCTCCTTGGAGAAGTGGTTGTTGCATTATTGATAATATTCACCCTTTATGACTAGCGTTAGTGGATTCCCAGGCAAACCTGCATACATACGTTGTGGAAGAGCCTCGAACACATAACCGATGTCCAAAGACTTCTCATGTCAACTACAGGCCAGGTGTTTAACTTCTCTTCTGTTATCGAATGTTTGAGACACTCTCATTAGAAGCACTCAGTCTACAAGGAGTCATTCTACATTCCATAGAGTCAAGGAAGTATTTAAATGTTTGGATCTTTTCAACTCATTGGATATTATTCTCATTTGGAATGGGAAGATTCTTATGTTCTGTTTTGACCAAATCAAAAATATGAGATTTTGGCGTCCTTTTGCGACGTATAGATAATATTAAATGATTAGCGCTCACGGTTTCCAAGACATAGACCCATCGTCAGAGAAAGGATTAGTAAAAGAAAGCCTTTTGTACGAAACTCATTTGCTAAAAATACGTTTTATTCCGCATATTGAAATTTGAAAATGCTACATTGTTGGTATGACAGACAGTTACCCAAATGATAAACATAATTGTTTAATACTGAGTTAGGTACCAAAAAATATAGGTGGAATAGCGTTGACGATTTAAGTAAGGCCATAGTTTTCTGGAAAAAATTCAGTTCTTCTGTTATGAGGATTAAAAACAGGAGGCGTTGTTTAGCTAGTTAATGGAGGATTCCTGGATTTCAACATAGATTCGTAGTGTATGGATATGTCGAGATTAAGAGGAAAAATGTAAGTATGGGAAACTCGATTTCTGGAAGAGGCTTTTATTTACAGATGAGTCGTAATATAATAATAATAGCATGGCTGATGCGACTCAGTTATATCGAGACATTACAAAAACCATAAATCGCTAAGTGAGATATCTGAGATTGTTAATAGAAGCCGATCTACAGTTCAGTACATCATAAAACGGTTCAAAACAGATCGATGTATAGAAAATAAGTCAAAAGCGGGGAAATAATAAAATATTTACTGTGAGTGATGATCCAAACAATAAGAAATATATTTTATAGGTCGAATTACAATGGAAGAAGATAAAAACCTCAAATTAGCAAGCGAAATCAAGAACTAATATTGCGATTTGCCAAGGAACACATATCAACCTTCTTGGTTCAGATGGCAGACCTTATGTATGGAGAAAGGCGCTCCTTGCCAAAAATATGAAGAACGTCCTGATGTATTGCATTTTATTGAGGGTATTATGGATCAGACAATGTATCTTAGCATTCTGAAAGAAAGTTTGCCACTCTGTAAGAAAATGATCCGAAACGCGAGGCTTACAAAGTGCGGCCATGGATACACCAGCCCAGAATCCAGACATAAACCCCATAGAGAACTTATGGAACTATATCGATGGAAAAATCCGGCTGCATACCACGTCTTGCAAAGAAGATTTGAAGAAAGCTTTGTTGGGAGAATGGCAAAAACTTTAACCTGGCTTTTGCGAAAAACTTGTTAAAGTATGCCAAATAGGCTACAAATGGTAAAAAAGTAAATATTAATGTCTAGAAAATCTTTAAATTATACGAAGTATACGAGTTTGGCTTTTTCATGGAAATATGATCTCTTTTAATATTTATTTATTTTTTACTTTAAATGAATAGAAATGTTAATATTTTTTTTGCTTTTTAGATTACTTTCGTAGTGTACTAATAATATGTAAAACAACTTTTTTTTGTAAATTTCGATTTTTGGAAGTTATAAGAAAAATAAAAAAATCTTTAGCTGTAGCTGCGAAGTTTGCTGGACATAAATCTTCTAGTTCATCTGACGTTTGAATGTAATGTTCCAAAATACCAACGGCATATTTATGTCTAAAAATCGGAAGGCAAAGTTCAAAATTGTTCCCGAGGTTTTGTATAGATTTTGGCATTTGGCAATGGAGAATTTTCAGGAGATTTTGCAGCGGAGCATAAGAAAACAAAGTATCACCAGCGCCCAAACATTTAAAATCGGCTTCAATAGGAATGGCAAGAGATAATCATATGGAAGTAAAACATTTAGTGGAGGGTACTAGAAGTTCAGCCCGGCCTAACTTTATGTCTTTTTACTTGTTTAGTTTAGCGTCATTATGTCTGGCTTTTGTAACTTCGTCCACAAGATTTCTCTCATCTTAGCGTCCCGTAAATTCTTGAGTATTTTTGTTATGTTTTCGGCTCTTTTAAGATCTAGCCAATATGATTGTTTGGAGGTGATATTTTCTGTTCCCTGATCAGCCAAAACTAAGCACCTTCTAGGCGTATTACTCACCTCAGACTTTGTCAACAACTTAGTTAGGGACCTAAAAAGTAGAATATACATTTTAGGTCCCTAACTGAATTGTTGACAAAGTTTGCTTCATTTAGATATCCATAAATAATTTCTTCCATTCATAAAAGCAAACCAGTGTCATTGGATTACATCATTTGTTTTCAATAATTTCAGATAAAAGTTGAAACAATTTTCGTTATTCTTCCACCATTAACTGCTCTCTCTCTCTCTCTCTCTCTCTCTTTCTCTTACAATCAACACAATCAAAGTAAATGATCAATTCCTTCAAATCTATTTCTTTGCTGTTGACAGACCGGCGGGAGAATTTATTCACATGTCTGTCTTCACACTCATAGAGCTTATTTTACGCAAAAGCTCTTCTTCCCAAAAAGAAGGTGTGTTCGCTTCTGCTTTATGCGTACAAGTTCGCATAATGCATCATCATGCGTTGGTATGTCTGACATTTACATTTCGAAACAAAAACAACATCACGCCACCCATCACCCGTATGAGAGCGGGTTGGAACGATATAAACGATGTGTCGCTTTTGTGGAGTAGTCGTTAATTGATGGTAGACAAAAAAAATAGTGCCGTAGCTGAGAAAATAAAATGTACACATGCGGAAATAGAAAGAAAGAAAACAAATCGAGAAATACATATTTAAATGGCGTCATTGAATAGTAGTTTTTTGTTGGTGAAGATTATTTAAATTCTTATGTGTTTCGTGTTTCTTTTATTATGTTCTTAGTTGTGGATTTTGATGATGCTGTGGTTTGTTTTGCTAATTCTGATCTTCATTTAGCAATGAATTTGAAAAAAGGTTAAAGAATGGAAAAAGATCCAATTACACTAGGCAACATTTATTAGTTTTCTCGGAAAATACATAGTATAAACAGAAGTTTGTGTTATTGCCCGTTCATATGCAAAATGTTTACCCAGGTTTATCGTGGTAATAATTGAATCAAAGTGTTTTCCGTAGTCAATTTTAGGGT